AACGGTTGCCCCCTTAATTGGTACGGGATTACCTGTAGCAGTGGGCATGTGACCTCCCTGATGCTTAATGATTTAGGTCTAGTTGGGACCTTTGATTTTGCTTCAGTTATAGGCCTTAGCAATCTACGTAATTTATCCATATCTAACAATCATTTTGATGGGATCATTTCGAAAGAGGTTGGCTCCATTGGCTCCTTGGAGTATTTAGATATCTCATCTAATCTGTTTCATGGGCCATTACCTAAAGAAATTACAAATTCAAGAAGATTGGTGCATTTGGATCTTTCCTTAAACAATCTTGAAGGAAGTGTTCCATCCAGTTTTGGGTATCTCAAACAGCTGAAGCATTTGGATTTTCATTCAAATAAGTTTTCTGGGAAGGTCATGGATCTTTTGTCACAGTTGGGTGGTATGGTTTACCTGGATCTTAGCAGCAATGGGTTCCTAGGAAGTTTGGACTTGGGGTTAGGATCAGAAAAATTTGTTTCTGCAATTCAGTACTTAAATGTGAGCCACAACAATCTTGATGGGTATCTCTTCTCCCATGATGGAATGCCTTACTTTGATAATTTGGAGGTGTTTGATGCAAGTAATAACCAATTCGTGGGCACTATCCCTTCTTTTAATTTTATGGTTTCTTTGCGGATTCTAAGGCTCAGTAGCAACAACTTATCAGGGTCTCTACCAGAAGCACTTTTGCAAGAGACCTCAATGGTCTTGACCGAATTGGATCTCAGCATCAATCAGCTTAAAGGTATGTTGATTCCACTTGCTATAAAGTTGTGAAAACACAAAAATGTTCTTTTTTTTTTTTTTTTTTTTCTATCATCTATCAACTTTGACTTGTTTTTTTTTTATTACATTTTTTATTACAGGTCCTGTGGAGAGTATCTCCTCTACAACTCTAAGGAGTCTTAACCTGTCATTCAACAAGCTGACAGGGATCTTGCCTCTCAGCATTGCTCACTGTGCCACCATAGATTTAAGCAACAATCTGATCTCAGGGAACTTATCCAGAATCCAAGGATGGGGAAACTATGTTGAACAGATTAATCTCAGTTCAAATTTGTTAACAGGAACTTTCCCGATCCAAACTTCCCAATTTTTAAGGCTTACTTCCTTAAACATCTCAAACAACTCGATCACAGGTGTTCTACCTCCAGTTCTATCAACCTACCCAGAACTAAAAGCCATTGACTTTAGCTCCAACCACTTCACCAGTACACTTGTTCCCACTCTTTTTAACTCAACAAGATTGACCTACATAAACATGTCCTTCAATAACTTCACTGGCACCATCCCTATCCCCATCCCTCCACTCGGATTTACAAATTTGAGCCTCGAGTTTCTTGATTTGTCCCATAATTCACTAACTGATCATCTTCCTAGAGAAATAGGAAGCTTTTACAGTAACCTGAAGTTGCTGGATCTGTCTAACAACCATTTCGAAGGTGGTGTCCCTGATAATCTTCCGGGTACCCTTGAAGTACTGGATGTTTCTTACAACAATCTTTCTGGAGTTGTCCCTGAAAACCTGAGAAATTTCTCTGATTCAGCCTTTCACCCCGGGAATGATCTTCTAAGTTTCCCATATTCCACATCAGAAGGTGTTCCAGGCATGATGAACATGGGCCACGCGTCTAAAAAAAGATCCTATATCAAACCCGCAATTATCGCGGGTTTGATCGGAGGTGTTTCCAGTTTGTGTTTCTTCATCTTCATATTGTTCTACAGAAGCCAACGACAGAATCACCCTGAGGAAAAAAAAAGTAACGAAAAAGAAAAGAATCAACTACCGGTTATTGCCACGTCTACAGGAGGGGGGGTGCATTTGGACAATGTATCGATTGTTGAAGGGCCAAAAAGAAAAGCCGAAGTAGCATTTCCTCCTCCTACTCCATCGAATGAAGAGATGGTTTGTTCTCCAGATAAACTAATAGGGGAGCTTCATCTTTTTCATGGATCAATGGTGTTCAGTGCAGAAGAGCTTTCTTCAGCTCCGGCGGAAATGATTGGCCGGAGCTGCCACGGGACACTTTACAAAGCTGTCCTTGATTCTGGCGAGGTTTTGGCGGTGAAATGGTTCAAGGAAGGGATTGCCAAAGGGAGGAAAGAATTTGCAAGAGAAGTCACAAAGCTTGGTGGCATTAAACACCCCAATTTGGTATCCCTGCAAGGGTATTACTGGGGCCCACGAGATTATGAGAGGATGCTTATTTCAAATTACATTGATGCCCCTTCTTTATCTCTCTATCTTAATGGTAATGGTAATCTTTGTTTCTAATCTCATCTGTTTATTATAACATCCTACTTTCATATTCTACAAATATAGAGCAATGTGTGTTTGGGTTAGCTTTTTTATGGTAAAAGTGATTTTTATGAAAAGTGCTTATTAGCTTATGGCTTTTAGGAAAAACTGTTTTTAAAAAGTGTTTGGATAGGAAAAACTGCTTTTCAGAAGTAAAATAGTTAAAAAGCTAAAAAGCTAGGATTTTCCAGCTTTTTGAAAGCTTTACTTTTTCATATCCAAAAAGCTGTTTTAAAAAGTGCTTTTTAAATACACGAACACTTTTTTAGCTTATTAGCTTTTTGAAAGGCTAAAAAGCTAATAAGCTGTGTTGAAAAGTTTTGCCAAACACCCACGTAATTGGGTAGAATTTTCAAACTCCAAAAAAAAATAAGTATAATTTCAGTTTATTTATGTTATGCAGAATCTGATGCGAGAAATCTTCCAAGTTTGAATCTTGACGATCGATACAAAATCAGCATAGATATAGCACGATGCCTGAGCTACCTCCACAACGAAAGAGCCATACCCCATGGCAACCTAAAATCAAGCAACATCTTGTTGGAACCTCCGGCCATGAAACACCCCCTTGTAACCGATTACAGCCTCCACCGGTTGATGACATCAGCAGGGACAGCCGAGCAGGTTCTCACGGCCGGAGCCTTAGGTTACCGGCCGCCGGAGTTTTGCAGTACAAGCAAACCATGCCCATCACTGAAGAGCGATGTTTATGCATTTGGGGTCATATTACTTGAGCTTCTCACCGGAAAATGTTCGGCAGAGATGATTCTGGGTGGTGCTGGGGAGGTGGTGGTGGATCTGACCGAGTGGGTGCGATTGCTGTGTGATGAAAACCGGTGTATTGAGTGTGTTCACCCGCAGCTGGTGGACGGTGGCAGTGATTTGGTTAAAGTGGCGGAAGAGATGGTTGAGGTGGCGCTTAGGTGTATACTTCCGGCTGATGAAAGACCTGATATGAAGTCGGTTGTGGAAGATCTTTCATCAATAATGGCGCCCATTTGAGGGTTTTCCGGCTATCTCGTTCGTAATTCAATTAATTGTTGGAAACCCGTTTCTGTACTTGTAACTTATGCATATTTCTTCTTCAACTTTCTAATTCTTTGCACTAAATATAAAAGCATTGCACAGTTGGTTTCAGCTGGTATACTTCAATTGTCACTACGGGTGTAATTCACCTGTACTATCAAGCTCGAAGCTTCACTCAAGCCCGGGCTCACACAAATAAAATAAACTTACATTAAATTACAACAGAAATATGATTTGAACTCGTGAGCTTCTCATTATCTAAATGTGACTAAAATAATGGCTAAAAGTGTAAATATTACTATGCTAAAGAGTATATACTCTGAGTAGCTCAAGCTTGACCTCGATTTGAACCGCATCAATTTTGAATATTTTTCTAATCAGGACAGTTACACTCCTAATTGTCAGAAATCGCACTATGTTCAAATATGAATTGGAAATTTTTAGGGTAAAGGGGGGCATTGTGGATTTGTGGGGGTTATGGTTTTTTAACTGAAGTATTTGTTGGATAATATTATCATCTTCTCTTTGTTGCTTGTTTTGATGTGATTTAAAATGGTATATTGTATTGAATTAAAATAAAATAGACAGAGAAGATATTTATAATTTTTTTGTGTAAATCATACTAAACTAGATGTGAAACTCATATATAAGATTATTTAAAAGAAAAACTAAATATAAAATTCTAAACATTTGAGAAGTATGAATTTATAAGAAAAGTGAGAAAATATTAAATTATAAAAATTAACGTTTTTTTTTTTTTTTTTTTTTTTTTTTTTTTTTTTTTTTTTAAATTTAAAAAAATAATTTAGATAAATAAATAAGAAAATTAATGAATCTTTAATTTAGTAGTTTTGGAATTAGAAGGAAAGTTCATTAATAAAATTAATATGCATTTATTATTGCATTTAAATACTATCTAGAATTTAATAAAATGAAAAAAAAAAAACATAAAATAGCATGTGAAATAAAAATTAATTTAAAATAACCATAAAATTAGATGTGGAAAATCTTATGCTTGTTCTATGTTCATTAATTTCATAATATTTATCAATAATATTTGATTTTATCTTTGTATTTGTTATAATAGATTTTTTAAATTATCAATGATATTAAATTCACAAGAAAACTCATCATATTTGCCAAAAATATTCGGTTGTACCATTTTACTTTTCTACCCTAACTATATACATTTTTTCATACTATATGCATTATACAGAAAAAACATATTTATATACGAAAAAATGTTTAATTAAATATTATATTTACATTCTTTTTAAATGTTATTTCTTTGTATATATGAGTTTTTTGTTTGGTTATAACATTTAAAACGTAAAAGTATGTTTATAGAAGTATATAACACATATTTTATAGATATAGTTTTTAGAAGGGTTAATACCATAAAAGTCATAAGTTTTACACACCGATTCTAAATTAGCCTTAAATGAATTTTTTGTTTCTAGTTAGCCATTATGTATTTGTTGACTTTTGCCTCAAGCCATGTTAGCCGGTTTCACCGGTTACTCCTTTACAAATAGGGTTTTTACTGTTAGAAACCCATCTTCCACCTCCTACTTCTTCCTTCTTCGACTTCTTCTTCCATGTAGCAACTTCTTCATGGCTAGTTCATCTAGAGGGTCTATAGGGCCAATGACTTCAGGATTGCAAAATGTTAATGTCAATTTCAGGAACAGAAACAACCTTATGGTTTTGTGTCGTTGTTTTGTTGAGGCTAGCTTCTCAATTTCCTAAACGGATAAGAATACTGGAAGGAAATTTGGGGGATGCACTAACTTCAAGGTATGTTCTTCACTCTTTAATCCAGTATAAAGTTTTGTTATGGGAATCGGGGCAAATCCGTCATAAAAGTGTTCAAGATCCTTTCAGGTATTGTAAGATCTTCATATGGTTGGACCTACCTTTGCCTAGTGAAGATTACAAAAGCCTGATGTACCAAATGCATTTAGCTCTGGTTGGTATGGCTGATGGCAATGCTCAGTTGGAACAGGTGAATGTTGATCATAATAGGAGGTTGATGTTGATGATGAAGCTTCTGTTCATCATGGTCATGCTATTTGCAGTAATGTTAGTAACAGGGATTTTATTGCTGGTGAAAGTGTAGGAAGTTAAGTTTAGTCTTTTGTGAAGTTGTTGGTTAGGTGAAAGTTGTATTAGATGCTTATTTTGGGAATTAGGTATTACAGTCCTATCGGACAGTTGTAATAGCATCTTAATAACATTTTTTAAGGTTGTAATATGGGTACCCTTGTAATATATAGTCCTACGGGACAATTAATATGAAAAGTATTAACTAGAAATTGATAATATACTATCCATTACAAACTGACATTGAACTTACTACAAACCACAATCTTTATAAACATAATAACCGAATACATACATGGAGGGTAACAATCAGAACCAAACTTCCAATTTTACAACAATGTTTACAAGCCAAAGATGATTTCCCAAAATGACAATGTACTTACTACAAATTACAGTCAAAAGATAACATGTTGTCAACAAAATTGGAAGCTTGTTACTAAAAGATGCTTTCACAAAAAAGGGCTATCAAAAGATTTCTGCCCAATTAACCCCCCATCCATAACAACATCAGTCCAATGTAATTGCTTTCTTAGTTGTTGAACCACCTCCATCTGGATCATGCACTGCTTTTTTCAGCTTGATCTTGATAATTTTTTCTGAGGGCTTCCTTTTTCTTACCAACGGATCTTGTGTTTCTTGAATAGTCTCTTCATCAACTATACTCTCAACCAACATTTCCTTCCTCTCTTTTGTCAACTATGAATAAGAAATTAATATGTTATCACATAACGTTCAAGAAAATTGTGTTAATAACTAAATTTATAACTACATACCTTATTAGTAGCTTCAACAACTATACTCTCAACTATACTCTCAACCAACATTTCCTTCCTCTCTTTTGTCAACTATGAATAAGAAATTAATATGTTATCACATAACGTTCAAGAAAATTGTGTTAATAACTAAATTTATAACTACATACCTTATTAGTAGCTTCAACAATTTCCCGATAATCATATCCACTGGGAATTATGTGTTTGATTTTCTCCATTGTTGCTACAAAGTCCCCCCTCCACAGTACTTTTGGAAGCTTCCTAAAATAGGTTCTTAAGCTCTAATCCAGTGTATTTCTTCCTGAAGTTTGCATAGATATGCCTGGCGCATTGTCTTTGTTCAACATATGGAAGTAATTCTATAACAGCTTGTAGTAGACCCTGACATTTAATAAACAAAATTATTATAAATGTATAATAATTAAACAAAATTTACAATATAATTTACCTTGTGCTGATCAGAAATAATCACAAGACCCCTACCACAATCAAGATCAAGATCAACAACTAACAGCTCAATAAACCAAGTCCAATTATATTTGTTCTCTACATCAATCACTGACCATGCTATTAGATATACATGATTGTTTGCATCTCTTCCAATAGCAGTCAAGAGTTCTCCCTTGATATGACCCTTTAGGAAAAAACCATCCAAACCTATCACACGTCTGTAACCCTATTCTAACCATCCTTAAAAGCCTTTAAGCACACATAAAATCTTTTGAAATAATTCATACCACTTGCATTAGAATCTAGTCCTACCTTATAAGTGCTCCCTGGGTTAGACCAAAGGATTTCTGCAGTATACTCCAATACCTTTGCATAATGTTCTTCTACCTTACCTTCTATCATCTCTCTTGCCTTTGTCCTAGTCCTGTGACATTACCCCTTAGATACATCTATTGAAAACATCCTAAGTACATCTTCCTTTATCTCAGTTAATGTCATCTTTGGCTTCATAATTTGTAGCACATAGATGTATGTCACATATAGATTTAATCTGAAATGTTAGTTCATTATACCTCCAAGTAGCATAAACTCTAAAGGGACATGGTTCCTTTTTATATATTTTCCCACACCTAGCAATCATTTTATGCATATCACTCTTCATAAACTACAACTGATATCCATTAGCTATTGCATAGTTAGTTAATGCAAACCTGAGTTGAGAAGGGGACTCGTAACACTCTCCCACTACATGCTTCATTTGTTTCCAATAGATGTCTGGATCATGAACCATGTACTCTACACCCACTTGACCATCATTTTGGTCATCAATATGTTCATGTT